TTCTTCACACTGAGGATGGCAGAGAACTGGAACCGGCTGCCCAGGGAGGTTATGGAGTTTCTGTCTCTGGAGACATTCAAAACTCACCAGGACAAATTCCTGTGTTACCCGCTCTTGGTGACCCTGCCTTGGAAGGGTGAATTGGTCAAGATGATTTCCAGAGGTCCCTTCCAATTCTAAGAACTCTGTGATTCTGTGATTTTATTAACTTAATTTTTGGGCCTTGAAGTGTCTGAGTAAACAGCTCCACACTTCTAATAAAACCATTTTTCAAACTCTAGCTGTGGAGTGCGCAACAACAATTACATCCAGTTTGGTACTGGTTACTGGATATTGCGTGCTCATGATCTGTTCTCATTTAAGAATTTAAAGTCTATTTCTATTTCAAGAACTGGAAATGCTAAAGTAAGATATTTATTACCTATTAGTTATTAATATTTATAGTTATTAGTAGCAATTAGTTAATAGTAAACTTTTTTGTGATGTATTTTCAGTTTCTATTTGAGGATGATTACCTCTTTTTAGTTATTTGTATGTAATTTGATACGCTTTTGGGTATAAAAATCTGCCATTATTTATTTAATCCTAAATTATTTGTTGATAAAAAGAAATCATTAAAACTCCTTAAAAATTAAATGAAGCTATATGAAGAGCTAAAGTTTTTTCTACTTACAAATGTAAGTTATCTTTTATTTTAAAACAAGGGAATAATTTTTCTGGGCATTTCAGTTTTCATTCAGCCTTCATTTTTCTGAAAATAGATTTTGCCTCTAATGGAAATAGTGAAGCTGAAATGTCAAATTCTTGTCTTCTCATGCACTTGCTGAATACTGCACTATTAAACTTCTAAGATATTTCACTGGTGACATGACAGCATGAACTTCTATCTGGGAAAAAATACTTTTTATAAATGGTGGTCAAGTCAATGAAGTTTCCTTTTTGAAGGGAATTCTACATGGTCAATATACAGTATTGAATCTTATCTAAAAGGCAGAAATTACATAGTGAGCAAAGGCAGTGGGGAACCATTGTATGAATTTGGACCATTTTGAAAAATGTCTGGCAATAGTGGTGGGAAAATCTCTTAAACTTGAACAGAAATTCTACCTTCAATGAAAGCAAGAACTTTCACTGCTGATCACTGAATCCAGTTTGTCCTAGGCCAAAAGCTGAGCTCCCACATTCCTCTCTATTCTCTCTCCTGGTTCTTGAGCCACATCTGCTAATGGTGATAGCTGTGAAAAGCTGCTGCAGTGTTTAAAGAATTTTAAAAATTGCAACTATTTGCAGAACTGTTTGTCTAGTGTTGTCACTGTCTGTCCAGTTATATCATTCTGTAATAATATATGAAAAAAAATGCACTTTCCTATTTCAATAAAAGCACTTCATACATTTTAATGCATTGAATCTTTAAATATCTTAAAGCATAGGTTAATGACATCTCTGTTTCAAAGTTGAAAAACACAGAAATAGATCGGCATTTTTCAAGCACCCACAGACTGCAAGTATCTCATTAAAAAATTGAAGTATACAAAATCAGCGACATTTTTCTGACAGTGAAGATCATACCAAGTTGATAGGACTGCATTGCTTAACTGCAACTGTACCAGGAAAAAAGAGGCCCCAACCTTTGTGCTGCCTTTTCTCAAAAGTGATTTTAGGGCATGTAATAGTTATGAAAATGTTATTGAATTGGCAACTGATCAACCATGTATGCTTTGAACATAGAGAAATTAACAAGACATTAGCAAGGCTAAACCTCCTAAGTTGGAGCTTTATAGGGACAGTTATCTGACATCTAGAAGGGCCATAGAGATAAGAGCTTCTTGTCCTACTGACTTTGTTTGGACTATAAATAGAACAAGACAAGTTTTGTTTCAGCTCATGGGCTTGTCTCTTCCTGTTGGCCAGATATGTAAAGGTTTTGCTTTTATGGCAAAACCCTTAAGCTTCGGAGAGCACCCTTTCCCTGTCCCCATCTTCATCATTCTTAGGAGCGCCTCTATTTTGGTCTGTGTTTCCTTGTTCCAGAAAGACTGAACCTGACCTTAATGAGGCTACTCATCTTGGTTTATAACTAGAATAGAATAGAATAGAATAGAATAGAATAGAATAGAAAAATAGATGGGACTAGACTGGACTAGACTAAGCTAGAAGGTTTAAACTCAGATTTTCACTTTACTTCAGAGTAATGGAACAATGCTCTGAGGAGACAAACAGGAAAATCTTACTGGGGCAAAGGGATTCATCTCCTTTGGAGACAGATTATTCATAAGAAGTTTAAATGGAAGAAAGAAAGTTTTATGCTAACCATTTTTGCTGCTTTCACTTTCTTCAGATGTGCCAACTACTTAATTCTTTGGGGCATTAAGTCCTGTTAAACTTCAAGTCAAGCTAGGGGAATTCAGCACTTTAAAAAACGATGCCCACAATTCTCCTTCACCTCCAGTTTTGAGCAGCTGTATGCACACCATCCATCATTAGCCAGGGAAGCCCTCATGGGGAGGCTGGTGGCAATGGCTTTCCAACCCTGGTGTGACGTGCACCACAGTTGAGGCTGGGAGGCAGGGCAGGGGGTGAGGGGCCGTGGCAGTGCCACAGCCTGCACCGGTGCCTCCAGCCAGGGACAGACCTGCTCTGGCAGGCAGTGGGGGTGGTTGGGGTTTGTGTGGTGAAAACAGGCAGCTAAGTCCAACAATGTTAATTATGCCCCATTGCCTGTTTTTTCCTCACTTCCTTGTTTTTATCGCTGAAGGATTTTTCAGCCTCTGAAACCAACAAAAAGATCATATTTTCCTTCAGTTTCTGAAACCCCATCCTTTTTTCCAGACTTTCCATTTCACGCTGTTTGAATTTTATTAAGATCTCTTTACACAAAAGCAGAGTACTGGCTATATGATGCCCTGAGGGACCTGAAAGACTGTTGCCATAATGTCACAAAACTCTGGGGACATTTTATTTCCACCAGAAGCTCTTTGGAGGACTCTGTCTAAGGATATAATATGTCTTAAATGTTTACAACAGGGATCTTGATCTCCATTGGAATTTAATACAAAAAGCTCTTTTTTAAATCTCTTAATTAGCACATCCCATTAACACCAATTAAATAATATCTATCTATAAAAATGGATTTTATTTCTGTTTTTCAATGAAGGAAATTGGTATTATTCCAGAATTATGGATAATATTGTTAATCATGTATTCTTAAGATGATGAATTTTGTTTTCAATACCTCAGTTGATCATTAGAAAGTATTTTCACCAAGTATTTTCCAGAAACACCTCTGTTTACTGTTTCTGCCTCTGATACTTTCTGTTCTTCCCAAACACAGACATGCATAAATTCTTTCTACAAGGCTCACAGTAGCATGTCTCCTCCAGTGAACAGGAAAAGATTTTGTAAGTGTTAATAAGGTTTTTTTTTTTCACTGGTCAACCTTGAAAGCAGAAGCAACTGCTGAATTCTCACCAGTCCCTTATATAGCACAACAGCCCTATTCAGACAATTTTTTAAATGAAATTGTTTAGGGAGCCATATCCTAATTTGACAGAAAGATAAGTCTCATGAAAAAAAGTATTGTCTTTTCAAAAGGCTGCAGTATAATTGTGTGTGTGCATGTAATATAGTAGGACATATATTTAAATTATTATTTAATTAAAATAATATAGATCTGTGTGTTCATTTGATGGAAAATTTTTTGGTAAAATTTAATACATGAATAATCATACAGAATATGGGATGCAAATTCTAAAGATAATATTTAAAAACCCGTTTGAATGTTGAACTATATGGGACATGTTTTTCTAATTTTTTTTTTTTTTAATTCAGTAAGTTTTGGGCTTTCTGGGACCATGCTGAAGGTGCTGGGATATTAACAAAATTTGGTTTCCTTAAAAATAATGTAAACATGCAAAACAATAAAGGAATCTGATGTTTTAAGGCAAATCAAAATCTCTCTATTGTTGCTGCATGTTATGCATCAATGACTCAAGTCAACATTTTTCTGTCGCAGATAACTGAAAATCTTTACAGGAGGTATCAGACCAAATAAAAAGGATTTTTTAAATTCAATTTCTGACGCTGCAAGTAGTCTATAAAAAATATGTAAATCAGATACTGATAATATAATGGAACTACTACTATAAATACATTGAATTGCACCACTGGTTAACAGCATGTACATCCTCCAAGTAATGGTCACACAGCAATCTAACATTATTTCCTACTCCTATTTCCTGTATTTCCAAGACCTTTTTGTCATTGTATTTACTGTGCACCACTCTTCTTTCTCTGAATAATGCCGCCCTGATATCACAGATAAGGAAAACAGCAGTTGCTCCCTCAAAAGAAGAAAGTAAATTTTATTTATGGAGACGTTTTTTCAGTATTTAATCTTCTTTTACAACTGTTCCTATTCTCAAATGGACTGAATGGCTTTTGTGATTACCAGGATAACTTTGAATGCTGCCTCACATAAATATACTGACAGAGGTAGTAATAATTTAACCCTTTTAATGCTGTCTTTCAATACATCATCTTTGTAGTGATTAACCATAATGGCATTTTTAGTTGGTCAGTGTTCTCTTAAAATTTCAGCTTTTGAAAGTCGCAATGTACTATGTATTTCTGGCATCAATTGGTTAAGATAATTAAATTTAGCTCCCACTTACTGGTGCAGACATTTAGAAAAAATAACAGAAAAAACTGACTCTAATACCTCAAGTTTTTATTCCATGCTAAAGCTTCTTTTTCACTATCCAGATGATGATTAAAACTGAATTTAAAAAAATATGTTAATGAAGTTCTGCCCATCTCTTGGAATATCTTTTTCTCCGATGTTAAAAATAACTGCAGATGTTTGGTGTTTGGAATTTCAGAGTTTAACTATATCTCTAAAATTGGCATTTGCTACTGTGAGGTATGCACTTTTTATAATAGTTAGATAAAAATTACACAATACTCATTTTTTTTCTTCCCGTTCTGCTTAAATCTCCCTGCAGGATGTGTGACACAGGAGAAGGGCTGTTCACCTTTCAAACACGAGAAGGAGAAATGATATATCAGAAGGTCCATTCTGCAACACTGGCAATAGCTGAGCAGCATGAAAGATTAATGATGGAAATGGAGCAGAAGGCAAGGGTAAGATCCTTCTACCAAAAGTCTTTAAACTTATCAAAATTGGTAATAAACCAAAGTCGTTGGATTCAGCTGTAATGATAGTATCAGCTGTGTGGCTAAGACAAAATAGAATTCCAGATTCATGTACTTTCATGGTCAGGGATCCTTGGTGTGTTCTGTACCTTTTGTAGGTGATTTTTTTGGAACAGGGGATACCATTAGACAAGAGATCCTTGGTCACCTTCTCTGAAATTGGGGCTCTGTTACTCAAAGATTAAACCTTTAGCTGTTGTGTTGACTACTGATGAATGAGTTTTAATTGCTCCTCATGGCCTCACAGATGGAAAAAACTCAGTATAAACACTTCTAGGTGACAGCAGACATGTTTTGTTTTTTCTTAACACCTGAAAGAAATTATAATTTCTACATTATAAGTAGCAATGCAGTTGAGTTCAAATAGAGCTATTTTATTGTTTTGTGTTCAAAATTTACAGTTTGGACAAGTTGTGTTTAAGTGACTACTGTGGAAAAATTTGGAGTTGTTTTAAGGCAGCAAGAAAAAAGCTTTCCCTATTTCCTTAGAAGCAGAAATGATCTTTAATGGTTGTTCTGGAAAGCTGACTTTTAGGCCAGGGAACCTAGTCTGCATGCTTTTCTTCTGAGATGACCATGACTCTCTGCATATCTTCTTCCCTAGACAGAGATTTCAGATTAATTGTGGCATTTCCTTCTTTTCCTAATCCACACTGTACATGCCTCCAGTCAGGCAAACATGACTTATATGGATCTATCCCCCACACTCCACCAGTGTCAAAATACCTTTCTCACTCTGCTGAGACAAAGGCTCTTGTAAGGACCAACCTAAGACCCCCAGTGTTCAACTTTTCTTAATTACTCCTCGGAGAAGTCAGAGAATCAGTCAGAGAATGTTAAGGGGTGGAAGCGGACCTTAAAGGTCATCTAGTTCCAACTTCCCCCATGGGCAGAGACACAATTTTCCGTATTCACCAAAAAATAAACTGGAAAAATACTTAGATTTCCATGTCAAAAGTCTGCTGTGTTGAATGTTCCTCTCAGACTTTGAATGTCTGTTAGGAAAACCTGAACTGGGAAGCCATAAAAAAGGCCTGGTTTTGGTGCTTTATGAAAAAAGAAGATTGATTTTTCCATAAAATTTGACAAAGCAGGAGCCTTTGCATAATAGTAGAGATGCACAAACTTTGGACAGGAAATGCAGGAAGAGTTTACAATCAAAATTAATAAGAAGCAACTGCTGGAAAGTCCAACACAAGGTAGAATAAATGGAAGGCAATGTGAAAAAGTAGGTCTTCTGGCAAAAAACTATTTCATTCTTGTGGACAGAAAATGATTAAATAATGGGAAAAAATGAAAAATGCATCATTATTTTATAATGTGTTTGCCGTTAAAGTGTCTACACCAGTAACAGAAATTAGAACATTTTCATGCTGCCGTGATAAATGCTTAGACCAGGATCGTACAAGATTTTCCTTTTACAGAACCATCACTTTCAGCTCTTTCACCCATCAATTAGCAGCTTTGCTGCTTTACAAAGCCATTTCCATTCTGCCATCAGATGACTTCCTTGAAACCATATTTATGAAGGCTGTGGCCATATGGTACGTAATATCAAACTCTGAGCGAGAGCAGGCTGAGAAACAGAAATGACTCATCAGCCACACCGTGTGTGATGTTCTTGTCTCCTGAACAAGGCTGCGCTGTGATCTGCACAGGGAGATCAGGAGAGGCTCACATAGGCTGCTGTGTAAAAGAGGCTGAAAAACCTGTTGATTTTATGCTTCAGCTAATAAACTAATGTTAGTTTGGATTTGGAAACTCTGCTGTTTCTGACTGGTAGGGTGCTGAATATTTAAACGTCTGTGACATTTGAGTTTTATTCATGTTAGAAACAAAATTTAAAATATCAAATAGACTAAGTACATGTTACATTCCATTTATCAAGTGTTATTGTATCTAATTCTAAAAATTTTACCAAACACCTATGTGTATTTTTTCCATAAGATCTGAAATTTAAATACAAGAAAAAGAATATTTTAAATCAGGGATTTAGTGGATCTTCCCAAAGCTTGACAGTAGATCTTTTTATCTATAGATCTACACTTGGGGAATTTTGCTCTTTCCTGGCCCTTTCTGTAATGAACAGCTTTAACAGTGTTGAATTAAATCTCATATATATACATATATATATATGAGATAATTTTTAAAAGTAAAGGTGAATGCTATATGCATTATTGTACAGATCAGAAAAAGAAAAGCTATGCAACAGTAATCATTACTTCTTCCTTCCAGTCATTAGAAGTCATTTATTAGAAAGGACTCCTGTGAATATTTATGTTCTAAATGTTAATAGGTTTTAAGTAATGAATATACTGAAGTTTCATTCAATTTTTACCAGATTATAATATCTAGTAAAAAAAAGTAGTACAATCTAGTATAAACAAATGAATACAGATTATAAAAGAAATTAAAGTGATTTTTTTTACCAGAGCAACCTTGATAAACTATATAGATTATGATTACCTTTCACAGTAAATATACAAAGTACATGACCATGAAAATACAAACATAGAAAAAAAAATGCCACAAAGTACAAAATACACAAAAAAAAAAAAAAAAAAAAAAAAAAAAAAAAACCCACAAAAAAAAAAAAAAAAAAAAAAAAAAAAAAAAAAAAAAAGAAAAAAAAACCAGAAGCAAATTATGGCAGAAGAATAAAGGTATTGCCTTTGGGCAATTGCAGGTATTTATGTATGGCCTCTGCCTGAGCCACAGGACACATTTACTCTATTTATGGAAGTCCCTCCATCTAAAAATTCTGTTTCAGAATGCTAAACAATAAATTCATTTTTATACTGAAAAATCTTTTGCTCAGGCCAAGCAACATGATGGATAAACTGTTAATAAGAGAGAGACATGAGAAGGAAAGTAATTCTTCCCATTACCTTTTAAAGTGCATGGGCTGGAAGCAAAAATGTTCTGTGGCAGCTTGTACAGTACCAAATCTGCCTCTTTGTCACCTCTAGCAGGAGAAGCCAAGTCAGTTTAAGCAGGCAGTAATGTGCACACTTTCATCTTCTGCCCATTTTCCTTTCGGATTATAACACTGGAAGAAAGACCTGAAATATGAGATCAGTAGTCACTGGCATGGGTGTGGATTTGAGCTGGTTATTGGTTTTACTGAGATCAAAGCAGACTGGATTTTATTCAAAAAATTCAGCAAAGTGGACACTGATCTAATTTAGCTCAGGTGGTTTTCTTGATTGAATTTGAAGTGTTGCATTGGCAGAGTGATAGTGCTTTATGCTTGCTTTGTTTGGGACAATAAAAAATTTGGGCCAATGCTAGTACTTAAATTGAAATTATTTTCAGGGAAATTGTTACCTCTATATTCATTTTTTTCAATCTTTGATTTTTCAATGGATCACTGTAATAGAGATGATAATTCTGTTTTGTCGTTTTATTGTGGGAGAGAGGGCAATATTGCAGTGATTTTTAGTGATTTTAGTTCGAAGATAAATTAAAAAGAACAATGACAGTCTTTCTGTTTACATGCTTTTATTTTGTGCTGTTGTGTATCCACATGACAGTGTCAGTAACTTTCCTTTTATCACCTGAACAAACCTCCTGGTTTTTTCCTCTGTCCCTCCCCCTCTCTGACCCCTTGTTTGTTTTGGGTTTTTTTTCTCTGTAGCATTTAGAAGTCTGTTTGGATTGTTGGTTTTGAAATTACTGTGCAAACAAAAGTGTTATCCTCAGGAATGACCTGTGTCCCCCCACTGGCTGTAGTCTGATGTTGAACATGGCAGATGCACGTCTGGGTGTCTAACAGCCAGCTCCATCACCCCTCCTCAACCCCCAGACTGGACTGCAAGCTCCTTCCACTTCCTTTCTCTTAACCTAGGTGCTTATCTGACTGAGTCAATTCAGTTTGCTAGTGCGGCAAAAAAGCCAAAAAACCCCAAAAATACCTACCTAAAAGAAGCAGGCTTCTTCAGGTTTACCAAACTGAATTGGCTTACAGAGGCAGCAGCAAACCATTGGATCTTCTTAGTTGTCCTGTCTTGAGGAGAGAAAAAAAAGCGAATAATTCATCCTCCCTAAATGCTTCATCTAAAAGAAGGCTGAGTGTCCTTCTCTTTGCCATCTGGAGATGATGCTGGGTTTGGTGATCTTTTTTTAAAGAATTGGTATTTGGATGGTTTTTACACACGAGCATATGAACGGTTGTTCTCAGCAGCACTTGTCTGTCTAACCTCTACACCAGGATGACAATATGGCATTGGAATTTTAATCTCTGGTTTTTCTTTCTAATGCCAGCTTTGATCTTCTGCCATTTAACTTCCAATGAAAACACTTCTAATATAGCTTCTGCCCTCACTGTTGTTGAAGGGTAGAAAATGGGAGGTTAAGAGCTATAGATTTCCTATGTTAGGACTACACATATGAGGGAGGAATTCTGAGGAAATACTTATACCTTTGTAACTCTACAAATTACTTCTTTCAAGAGCTGCCAGTAAAAACTTATTGTGTATTCTCAAAAGAATAAAAATTTACAATATGTAAAACAATAAGCCTAAATAAGATAGCACTAAAGTTGATGTTAGCCAGCTGAACTTAATCAAACATCAGTAAGACTGAAGTGTAAATGCAGGAATAAATTATAATGGCCCAAATTTCATAGCTTATTATCTTTGGAAGTTTCCTATAACATTTATTTTACTTTAGACAGCAGAGCTAAAATCCATTTTAGATTGTGATCTTTTTAACATCTCCCAGAAGATAAACATTCTTATGAAACACTGCATCGGTATATTTCTTTTCTCATTATTTACAAGTCTTGTCTTTAAAATTCAATATAAGTGAAAGAGTCATCATGATAGATTTCTGTTATTTAAAAAAAAAAGATCATATCAATGAGTTTATGTATTATTGCTTTAAAATATGTTATTAGCAGGGAAATAATGAATCTACCAAAGGAGACA